GTAGCCTTGGCAAACCGAACTTCGGTTACTACCGATGACCCATGCTTAAAATTTGCCTATCGGTGTTCGATCGCAGGCCACCGTAAGAAATCTTGCGGTTTCCAGCAATTAATATGACTTACGGAATACAGACACTAAGGAAATTCCGTTAAACGACCGTAGAAAAATGAATAAAAAAAACTGAGACGTGATCATCATTTGTATCATCAGTATTGTTATAGTCATTGTTAGTAAATAGTGGTGTAGTTGGAGTTTTTTGCAAAGTAGGGGCGCAAAGGTGGTCTGAGTCCTCCTTTTTCCGTTCCTTCTCATCCAACCCTTCAAGGGGAGAAGAAAGGGTCTTCTCGCGACCCTGGTCATAAATTATTATTGTTCATAACCCTTAATCATAAATATTCACAATTTTCCAGATGATAACAAAATTACAATGGATCTTCATCAATGCCTTACTGATTGTTCTGTCATTTTGGTTTATGAATTGGCGTTTAAATAATATACAATTATCAAACAGTAATATTTATAATCATGACAGTAATATTTTAATGAAGTCGAGATTGACATCTGAAAGGTCATCTCGTTCAATTATTATCTACAATCGGGTTTGTTTCTCTTACCAAATTTCTAATTAATGAGCAATACCGATGTTTTTTAAATTTTTGTAACAAATTTCATCAGTGATATTATTAATATTTCGATTTAGATATTCATTCATGCAAAGCAAACTGCATTCGAAATTTGTGACTGTCAATTCATCATTAGGCACTGAAATCAGGAATCTCATATTATCAATCATCAGAATAACTTTTTAATTATATTCAACAGACGGTTAAATTCGTTTTCAAACGAAACCAAAAGCGAACGAATTTACAACACAAATTATTCATTCCTCCAGTGACACTGACTAATGAAAGCAAGAAAAAGATTCGTAGAATTCCATCAAAAAATTTCCAAATGCGTATTGAAAAACAAAATTTCATCAAAAATAATTGAATTATATCCATCGTAAGCAGAGGATTCAAACGTAACTTTGAGCGAAAGGCTCAGCCTGAGACCTGCTCCAAGATCTCACCACAAACCCAAAGCTAGTCTGGATTCAATTCAACGCCCCGAACAAAACACGTTGTTTCTGGCCAAGCTCAATCTGAGCAAAGCTAACGAAGCCAGTCTCTAACACTGAGCCTAATTTTTGTTCCATTTTCAAAATTTCAGGTACCGAAAACAGGCTCAACGACGTTGACGAACGCGATAATGTACGATTTATGTCGTCAGAACAATTTTCACGTTCTGCATCTGAACTTGACAAAGAATCGATTTGCAATGAATGTCATCGATCAAAAACGATTCGTTGATAATATCACCCAGTGGACTGATATGCATCCGGCCATATACCATGGCCACGTTGCATTCATCAACTTCAACGTGTAACGTTTACTTTCATCTGCAAACCTGCAAACCACTTGAGGGCATTATAGACATGAACACGAGTATTTTAACATTTGAGAAGTCATTAGCCCTTTGCAAGCATATGTCTGAGCACAAATCAGAGCACACCTTCAACTCTGAAAATAAGTCTAACTATAAGACTGAAGACGATTCTAACTTGATTGGATGTGGCTAAAAACATACTTTTGTATGGTTCCACTATACGACTTTTATGAAACATCCTCACTTCCGAGTGAGCTTAAAAATCTCATTTGATCAATTGCCTCCCCTGCGGTAAGCATGATCCTGATCAACATCCATTTGTGTCACGTTTTCACGAAATTCAGATTCACTTTTTTNTTTTTTGTAAAATTTCTCGAAATATGTTCAAATCATCAGCAATTTTTCTTCTCTAATGTGAAAAATTTTGAAACGATAAGGAATATAATGAAATCACATTGAATTATCACTATGATCATGGTAGCATAATTCATTAGAAGGCAAAGTTATCATCATTTGTGCTGGAATAAGACTCAGAATCACTGCAAAAGTAAGATGAGATTCAAAAAATGTAGGCTTCAAATTGAGAAGTATTCGTTCATATTCATTGAGTAATCAAAAATCGACGACCATCTCATTACAACTGATAATGCTTAAGTGGTGTTGATTATGTCATAAAATATTGAAAATTCATACAAAACTACCGTTAAGTTTAGTTTTGGATTGCCTAATCCAATCTATATCAACTTAATACGTGAACCATTGGAACGACTCTTATCACATTATTATTTCTTACGGTACGGTGATAACTATCGAGTTGGTTTGAAACGGAGTAGAGCCGGAAATAACGAGGTTATTCTTTGATATCTTCACTTTGACGTTCCACACTCATTGAGATTTTACAATGATGATGGTGATAATAACGGCATGATTAGCGNGTTTCATTGTTTTTGATTTAAGGAAAAAATTTCATTTCAGACATTCGATGAGTGTGTGGAACGCGAAGGTAAAGACTGCGATATGAAGCAAATGTGGTTGCAGATTCCATACTTTTGTGGTACTCATCATTTTTGTAGGTTCGTTACTATCAGTCGATAGGATGTTGTTCATAAGAATAGATCTTTCAACAATCAGTGGTGATATGATTATCCTCTCAAAAAACTCCTTGGTCGATATTTCTATTCGATTTTGAGTAGACTTATTGCGATTGCTCGAGATCGTCCTTCACTCGGAACCTTTAAATTTTCGGCAACAAGTATAAGTCTAGCTTCAATCGAATTCAACATTCGTTTCCTGTCGCACAGTTTTCAAAACATGTTCTGAGCAACTTGATCTAGGATATTTATTCAGGCGATGATTGAATTTCAGTGAAGTTGGTAGTGAACGAGCACTGGAACAGGCCAAATTCAATTTGGTGAATCACTATTTATTGGTTGGTATAAACGAACAAATGAGGAAGTTCATATCACTTTTGGAACTCCTTTTGCCGCAGTTCTTTGATGGTGCGCTTGAGCATTTTGATACACTCGATGGTAATCGCTGTTTATTCGTTGTGCATAGAACGCGCTTATATTATTCATTGATTATCTGCAATGATCTATCGCTATAGCCAAATTCGCATGGGAAATGAAGAGAACTGATTGGGAGTATTTTTTGAAAGATGCACTAATTTACGTAGGCATATATTTGTTGAAACTACAATATTGTTATGGCTAGAATCAAATTCTGCCGGAAAACTTATGCAAGATGTTTATTTTGACATCCATCAATGTTTATTTTATTTAATCAGCAAATCCAACTCATTACGATTTAATGCCTCTCTGTTATCTCCAATATCACTAATATCACATTCTTCCTTCCTTGGTATTCTTCTTTCCGCATAGCCAGCGGTAATAGCGTTTGGAATCGTCTGTCTTCATGAAATCCGAACTTGGATTATTGATCTGGCAAGCACAAAGGTTTTGGGCTACTCTCCCGTATTGCTAAATGAATTCTAGGGAGAAGGACTCAGAAGGAGCACAAAAATACATTCCGATTGATCGATTGAATACTTGTCCAACGATTTGTTGAAACATATCAATGCTTTGTTTGAAAATTCTATTGGATAACGTCGAAACACACTTCCTTCAACATATCGGAAACATTGGAGTAGAATATGAAATCTTAGGTTATGAGTAATTAGACTGTAGCAGAAACAACCCAACAACATCACACTCATAATGAGAACGTGCGTAGACGTGATTGATTTCAATATTAGAGATTCAAGAACGCCTGATTCGTAATCACTGTCAGTCGGTATCGTTTATGCCTGTTCCACGAAAATGTTCAATTCAAAGAACATTCAGTATGAGATGTGTAACTGAATGAGAATTTCAGCTAAACACGCTCATTTGCGTAGTACGAAAAAGAAGATTCCACCACTGGAGAGTACACTGGAAAGAGTTCGATCCGATAAGATTTATACGATGGAACGTGAATTTTACGACTTTGCTGTTGAGCAGTTCGAGAACGTTTGGAAACGAACGCATGACGAGAGTGGCGAAGCGTTTTTACCGCAACAATTCCATTACGAAAAAATAAAACCCTAATTGGTTAGGACTGTTGTTTTCTTGAAATTTATTTTATGATAGCATTTTATAGGCCATATGTCCATTCTGACTTCCTCGCTTCGTTATAGAAGCATGAAATTGAATCCTCCGAAAGATGTCCAAAAGCGGATTCGCTCTCTTTGGTTATCAATCGTTTTGAGTTGTTTTGAACATCGAAGTTCCTCACGAAACAGAAAAAATAGTTTCAGTTGTTTGGAATTCGCTCCTTTTGACTATGCAACTTGAACATTTGAAGTGATGATCATCAAATGAAATTCGCAAATTCAATCGCAACAGAATCAATTAAAATGAAATTTGAATTCTCTGCTTAACCATCTCATATCAGTTGATCTTTTCAGATTAGTCGTATTTATCCGACCGATGGCAGGTTTCAAATTCATGGAGAAAGCGCGATTTTTCGAGAAATCCATCTCGTTATCAGATGATGTCGATGCGGTATCGGTGATGCCAGCGTACCGCTTGAGTCGTTCACAGAACAAGGATTTTGGACGAAACATCAGACGGAACATCGAAATATTGGATCGATTACTGATTGGAGTCGTATTGGAAATTAGGAATGGCACAGAAATATTAGATGTATCAATCTCTAGCAGTAAACGAAATACGTGACTTGTGAATATTCAGTTCTGAAATTTGCTGACATGAGCAGTCTGATGTACAGTTCTAGTGTTATTTGCTTAATCCGCACCAGTATCGAACGAGGATCCAGTGTTGTTTTTGCAGACAGTTCAAACCATGATCACTTTTGTTTGCAATGTGATCTGATGTTATGATGAGGATCTGCCGTGGTTTTTAGTGCCATGAATGATTATTCACTTATTTTTTGAAAGGGGTCCACCTCATTTTATGAGGAGCATAGAATGGTTGGTGCCTTTTGTAGGAGAGCTAGCTTGTGTTTCTGGGTTCGTAATCGTCACTCCAAGAAGATGCCGTTCTAAATGTGGCATCATTTATCGTAATATAAAAATTTTTCGTTTTATTTTCCAATATGCGGTATTCCATTAATGTTATCGAATATTTGGAGTGGTTAATAGGAGTTTAACTCAAATTATTTGTAAAAGGATATTATGTATACTATTTCTGATTCGAATATTATGGATCTCTTAATGTTTCTTTAATTGTACGGGAAAATAGTCAAAAAAACCTTTATGAAGGTAGTCGATTCATGAATGTCACAGTTCTTTGCGGATGGAAGTAGAGTTTGTCGGGAGAATTCAGCTTGTTACACAGTAATGACAGTTTAGTAAAACCTAAAACTTCAAGCAGTTTTTTTTAATACAACTGTTCTGTAGCGCTTTTTCGAAGCTGATTACTATTGAAAATTGTATGATGCAAAGTGATTTCACTATTTGTTAATGAGAAATTTGGAAATTCTTTTGGAATTCGAGATTTCGAGTTGAAAAGGATTTCTCCTACTATCTCACAATCTGTAAGGCTTTAGACTCAATCAACTCACCTTCGGTTGTTGTTAATGTGTTTAGCTTTCTTAAAAGATCACAAATTTTATAATATTTATTCGTTAATGACTTCTGCAGTTCACTTTAATAATTCAATTGTACTGTATAATTTACGGGTCATTGTTTCATTTCTAGTTGTGCACATGTTGAAGTAAATTATTGTTTCTACTGGTTTCCGTCTTAAATAGAGAACTTTAAATACGAGCTATCACAAAGAAGCAAGTTCCATGTCCGAGATAAAAGCTGCTCAAATGTGAATGTGGGTTTAGTATTTGTCAAATCCATCACCATCTGAAAATGAACTAGCTTGTGGTGGTTGTTGGCTGTGAAAGAATTGTTGCTATTGCATGAGATATATACTGATGAACGGATATAGAAGTGATGCTTAAATGATAGAATCAAAGTAACTATTCTACATTCTTTACGAACTGAAATTGTATTTAGTAACATTAATATGTCAGCAAAAAGCACATGGTCATTGATACTAGCATTGCTAATGAACAAAACTATTTCACGAGAACGTCACATGGTGCAGTGTTAATTTCACGAGAAAATAACGTTTTAAATATTTTGTACTCCCAGGCGGGGTAACGCAAGCTTAAGACAACAATACGGGTACCAGGCGATTAGGGAACAGAATTTCTAATGGCTACTTTTATGTTGAGTGGATGGCAAAAGAAATGCCCGAGGTGAGGTTCGAACTCACGACCTTCAGATTATGAGACTGACGCGCTAACCAACTGCGCTACTCAGGCACATTAATAAGTCTTCATAATGTCTATTATGTTTTATGCTCGCTCTCGATTGAACCATCATTGCACTGCATTTATCTCATCCAACAAGAGAAAGATTAGCAAAAACTTTATTGCGACAAATAAATAGTTATATAAATGACACTATTTCACAAACAACAAACATTCCAGAGTTATTCATTTAAGTTCTCATCACACAATAATTATATTCATTTTCACATGCGATAGACAAAATCTGTAAGAACGAAACATGTTTCAAGCAACTCTAAATGATAGGTTTCCAACCTCAGAGCAACAAAATGATAGGTTTATTTTGTGATCATTCTTGTGATCTTATGATCCTTTTGTGATCTTTTTGTGATCATTGCTTATTTTGTGATTTTGTGACACTGAGATTTTGTGATATTTTTCATGGCGATTCGAAGGAAAAAACTTTGAACAAACGCTGATATTGAATAGCAAATAGATGGATAGGTGTGACTTTGTGGAATTGCATGCAGAGAAATTACCATTTTGAAACACATTTCAAATTCAATTCCAGTCTTTCAACAAATTTCATTCGTTCGTTTAATTTTATTCACCTATTCGAATAATCAGTTTCTTCTTCATCAATTCAGCGCATTTGCAGTTCGTCTCAGTACATTCTGCAGATGGGTTTTCATTTTGCAATGGATTTTTTGGCAACTAATAATATTTTGCATTATTTCCAGGGGATTCTGTCTTTGATATCGAAGATTTTAATGATGCATGTATTAATCCATTATGAGCAAATGTCAGCGCTCTTCTCATGACTGACCATTCGCTCATTGCTTACTTTCATTATCCATTTTTTCTTTCAGGGCATGACCCCGGAACCCTTATAATAAGATATCTCCAGTGGATGGAAAAACTATTTTGATCAAATAATGCCTGTGTTGTCCATGTTCACTTTCAAATTTGCAGTGTT